ATATTATTGAAATTCTTTCCCTGATAATAGTATGCTTGTATGTCAAAAATGGGTTAAATCGGATCAATATTTCTCTAAGCATCCATATACCTAACATAAAGCGTTTCGAGCTTCCGGTTGACTTTATATCGCATGTGTTGTTGGTCTATATGAGAGTTATCTTAAAAAAAGTGAGAGATCGTGTTTTTCCAATAACAGTGTATCTTTGTGCATAAAGTGAATAAATTTAGGTTAAACTTACCTTAGCCACCATACTACTTATATCAAGAGTTTCAAACATCCGGTTGACTTTACTCCTTATACCATATATTGGTGAACAGCAGTAAAAGTGTAACATCAGGAGATGGCAAACTCGATTCTCAATTGATGATGATGTAATAGATGTGCCATTGACTTATTGGACTCGCCTGAAGAACAACAAAGCTATTCAAATACAGCGAAAAACTGACAAGCTGCATACACCAGTTTCTTCGCAGGATATGGAATCCTACGTATGTTCTGCTCTGACGATTGGATCCTAAGTATGCTCTGCCCAATCCACGAAAAGGGGGACCCCACATTCTGCGCCAATTACCGTGGGATAAGCCTCCTTAATATCACATAGAAGGTCCTATCGAACGTAGTGTGAGTAAGACTGCAGCCCACCGTCAGAAAACTGATTGGACCTTATCAGTATGGATTTAAACCTGGAAAATCTACTATTGACCAGATATTCACCATGCATCAAATCTTGGAAAGGACCCGTGAAAAGAAGACGACACACACCAATCCTTCGTCGATTTTACAGCCGCCTTCGACAGCAATAAAAAAGCTCTGTCATGAAAAGAAGAAGAGAAAGAAGAAACTCTCCGACCCGTTTGACAACTAGACTATCGCGTGACTTCTTCAATTTATTACTAGAGAAAATAATACGAGCTGCAGAGCTAAATAAAGAGAGAGAGAGAGAGAAAAAGGTTCAATCTTCTATAAAAGTGTACGGCTGCTGGCGTACTCCGATGGATAAGAAAGCGAAGCATATGGGTCTGGTTGTGAACGAGGACGAGACAAAATATCTCCTGTCACCAAACAAACAGTAATCGCATCGGTTGACAGTCATAACTTTGAAATACGTAGATAATTTCGTCTATCTTGGAACCAGCACTAACACCAACAATATCAGCCTTAAAATCCAACGTAGAATCACTTTTCCCAACAGGTTCTACTTTGCACTGAGTAGGCAATTGAAAAGTAAAGTACTATATCGATGAACGAAGACCAAACTCTACAAATCCCTCATCATTTTGTCCTGTTATATGATGCGGAAGTGATGGAATGGAAATAAGAACATCTGATGAGCCGACGTTAGAAGTGTTCGATAGAAAGGTTTTAAGTGTTCGATAGAAAGTTTTTGCGGAAGATTTATAGTCCTTTGCGCATTAGTCACGGCCAATACCGCAGTTGATGCAAGGATGAGCTCTACGATATATACGGTGACATTGACATCGTTCAGCGAATTAAAAGATAGCGGCTACGCTGGTTAGGTTAAGTTGTCCGGATGGATGAGAACACTCAAGCATTGAAAGCATTCGATTCAGTACCCGCCGGTACTGATGAAGAGAAAGATCTCCATGGAGAGAACAGGTAGAGAAGGACTTCGCTGCGCTTAGAATCTCCAATTGGCACCAAATAGCGAAGAGAAGAAACGACTAGCGCGCTGTTGTTAACTTATTAACTCGGCTTTAACCGCGTAAGCGGTGTCTACGCCAGTAAAGAAGAAGAATATGTGGTAATCCCAAAAATATGGTAGATAAAATCGGTTCAATGTCTACGCCAGTAAAGAAGAAGAATATGTGATAATGCCAAAAATATATAAAATCGGTTCAATACTACCCGAATATGTCGGTCAATGTGTGAGTTAAAAATTTTTAAAATTCTTTGAAAATATGTTTTTGAGTATAACTTAGTAATGTCAAGAAATGGTTGAGGCCTATGGTCAAAACCTCATATCCCCAATACAATCCTCTGGTTGATGTTTTCCACATCAACTCAATGCATTAAATTTTACCTCTTCGGTTGAGTTTTTATCACATACATATCTCATTTGAGAATAATTTTAATAATATTTTCGCTGACGGAAGGAAAATATAGTTATAAAACTAAGGGTGTCTATGACCTATAATACATATAAATAAGTCAGTAAGAGACAAAGTTGATTGTAATCCATTCACGAATTCGTCGAATAATGAATGTTGAATTCTTTCGCAACAATTTTTAGAATACCGTTTTGCTAACTCCTGAGGATATTTTTTTCGGCTTTGATCCTTGCAAGTTGTGAGAGTATAAAATGTTCGGTTAAACCAAAATTTAGCACTTCCTTATTTGCGCAATATAAAGCACCTGAAATTGCGAGTTGTATACAGTGTATAAAGTGTTCGATTTCCTCCGAACATGGTCGTTACCTACTTGTTACTATTATAAACTCAATAGTAGGAGGTAATGCCAGTTTGAGCCTAAACTTGAGAATGACTTTTCTGTGGCGAATTCTCACCAAAGAAAAGAAGACCGATTTGGTTGCCAAGTAAGGTTAAGTTCGGATGTAATCGAACTTTTTATACTCTCGCAAAGTCAAATGGTATACTCGTTTGAGAAAAAAAATATTGTATTAACACTCACTGACCGACATATTCGGCATAGAACTGGTTAGAATGACGAAAAGCGTTATAAGTAGTATATGGAAGTTGAGGTTAGTATTAATCCGATTTTATCAATTTTTGCCAATACCATATACTAAAATACTAGCATGCCACAGATTAATAAATTGCTCTCACTGTTTCATTAAGGTACCTCACTTACCATCACCAATCAAATGGAGTAAAGTCAGACGATTGTTCGAATATTGTCATATTAGTTACATGGGGTTAGGTAAAATTTTCACCCGATTTGATCCATTTTAGGTACAAAGATACCTTGTTATAAATAAAATACGCTCTCTCATTTTTATTGAGATAACTCACATATTGGCGGATATATGCGGTATAAAGTCACCTGGAACTCCAAAAACCTTTATATTAGGTATATGAGGGCTATGGGAAATATTGATCCGATGCAACCCATTTTTGACATACTATTATCGATAGTTTCATTTATTTATTTTATTATATTGCATGAATTTCAATTACATATATATCTTACACATTAACCGATATTTTCGGTAAAAAGTCAACTATAGGCACTGGGGTCCACATATTCTGTACCTAGGGGCTTGAACAGTTTTGGTTCGATTTAGACAATTTTTGGTCACAAGGTGGCATACTTTAAACACATTATTTACGCAAAGTTTTACTAATTTTTTAGTAATTAGTTCAGAAACAAAGATACTGGTCAAGGTTATCGCTGCAGGTTTTTCAGCACGTTGAACAACATTCAAAACCGTGAAATATATATAATGATCAACAAGATTCTCCAGATGCACTGCCAAATACACAATAGTAGGATAACGTTCGTGAATATCGAATGCGAATATACGCAAAATCGTTTAATTACAGTTCACATAACGACCAACTTGATAGCGCCCATTTCATTGTTGGTATTGGAAGACCGGATACCTAAAACCGTCACATCGCTGCTTTTCGTGACAAATTTCGTCTTAGTCGCGGCGTTGTAATGATGATTATGTTCGTCACACGGTAACACATTCTTACATAATTCACGAGCATATGTTTATATGCATAAACCTGATAGCCTGGCAACAACTCTTGTAACTGGAAATTATTTTCATCAACTTCTAAATTTTTGGCCGCTAATGTAACATAGCCACCGTTATGACCAAATCAATTAATTTTTACTTTCAGGAATACCTATACTCTTAATTAATCAAGTTCTTTTCGTGAAGCACTGCATATTTGGTTGCAATTCTATTCTACCTTCCCAATATCTAGAAATTGTATTGAAATTGTCATCGTTGCCGTTTAAATCTTGCATTGTTCTGTGCAATGCTTCGAGAATATTACAGCCATTATGCACTCATCTCAAATTATAATTGAACTTTTTATCAACACTGATTATGAGTACCTCTGCATCGTTCACCCATAATTTAGCACTGTAGCCGCAACGTCTTGGCGATGCAACTATCCATGAGATTTCTGACTGGGTCCACATGGTGCGTTCTAAAAAAAAATGATTCTTACATGAGTTTTGAACACATGCTTATGATTTGAAATATAATTTTTGTATTTACGAATTGTATTGACTTTTAACATAAAGAGATATATGTATATAGCTTATTAAAAAGTAAAAATTAAGTAAGTTGACATAGGAACACCTTGTGTGTGAAGGGGAGACTGACATATTAGTCTCTGAATTATTTACCCACCTTTTGGTTATAATTCTTAAACCGCCTGTAATCTTCAAAACAGATACCAAATTGTTTTACTTTTTCGTTTTTCGTCACCGCACCTAAGGGTAAAAGCGTGTAGTTCACATCTTTAGTGATTGTAGTCAGGACTTTGTAGCGGTTTTACATATATTATAGAGGATATTAGTCCACATTCAACACAAACTTATACGCATATATGCATATATTAATACTTGTATGTATGTATAAACATGTATATCTGTATATATTTTACTCAAGTAACACAAACTCGCATTACAATTTTAGTGCTACTATCCCCTTTGTAATTTTGATTCAATAGAAACCACTTAACTTAATTTTTCAGTTAAACACACCTCCATATACCATATAAAGGGCAGGGGATTATTGTGTTAAATGCAGCATAATATTCGCAAGTAGTAGTGGATCTCTAGTGCTTTTACTTCACTCAAAGGCAAGCGTCAAGCATTTCAATATTGACACTCGAAGCTAATCGTTTGTACTTCGGTTAATTACACTTTGGCTTTACATTTCAATTCGAGTGTCTATGAGAGCAATATTACAGAACTTGATACATTGTAACGCATTATTTTATGTTACACATACAACGTAGCATTTTAAACTAATATTTCTTTGAACTACTTTACAGATGCTTCACCGGGTTGTAAGGCGCCTGATATACGCTTTACTGTCATACGACCGGAAACAACCACTGAACAACCGTATGCGAAATTTGAGACAACTCAGATTTATTTACCAGAGGACTTTACAACGTCCGATGCGGAGTTCGTCGAAAGGATTAATATTGATCTGACCGCCCGTCAGCCTGGAGTCAAAGACAATAAAATGAGCGCTATCGTTAATCCCTACCAAGTCGATCTGGATGACCAGCACGGCCTGGCAGGGGTGCACGGTGCGGATGACACACTCGCCGCCATCGACGACGAGGAGGACGAGGCGGACGACTCCGAAGATGGCACACCCAAACGTAACCAGAATCGGAAGTTAAACAAGAAACGGCGTTCTGGATCAGGACGTCGTCGCCGTATTGAAAACGAAAATGGTCAAACACGTGGTCGTGGTAGCCGATACAAGCGTCAGGTGATTCATCACGATCCTGATGCCTCTCCTGATACGGACAAATGGGGCGGTAGCAAATTGGCCGCTGAAGGCGATGTTTACTATGTGCATATTGATGACATTCTGCAGTCGGGCACACCCAACGCCGAACTCCGATTAAAGCTGCATAAATTGAAGCATAAAACGAAGGTAAAGAATTCCACATGTACTGACGTCGGAAACAAAGAGCAGTGCAAGCAGGCTCTAGCGAAGAAACACAAAAAAGCAAGCACCAACAACTTATCCAAGCACATGGTAGAAAAAAAGCAGATGCAAACCAAAGAACCCTATGCGAAACATCATCGTAGACGAGGTGATAGTCACGAGGAAAAACGAGGTGAACAGCAAATGCTGAATGAAAAAATGCAGAACCCGAATCCACGTTATCGACGCGCTGCCTTAGGAGCATTGAAGCAGAAAACCGATATGACTGCGAGTGCTTCGGGCAGCTACAACGATTTGGAAGCGAATGTAAATGCGGCAGAAACTAGCGACTTGGAAACGATAAGAATTGGATGGGAACATAACAAAACTATCAAAAATGTATTTAATAAAACGACTGACGAGCAGCTGCTGGACGATAGCGATGTGCCGGCGGTGTATGGCAATGAGACGGGCGCAGAGGCGCTGCAGCGCGTCAAACGCAAGTCCGGCAAGACAACCGGCGCATTGAGTCGTCCCAAAGGCGGCGGAGATTCTAGCTCAAAGACAACAAGTCGCAAAGATAAAGGTAAGGAATTTGTCATGAATCATCCTATTTAATTTAAGTGCATTATGAGAAGCACAAATTCATGATATATATTTCATAAGTGTCCTTTAAACCGAAGAAAGTATATTCGATGCCTACTCATTTGGTATATAATTTCTGCGGTAGTATTAAGGAAACGGCACCGAAAGCATTTAGCAACTCTTAAACCCTCCATTTTAGGCAAATCGCTGTTTTCAAACGATCTTTGTGATATGATTAAAGAACTTAACGACCACTTTGAGAGCGTTTCAACTCGTATATGTCTAGATCCTTTGAAAATCCAAAGTAACTTACTAATAAGTTTTCCATGGTAGTTTGACTTTAACGTAAATATTTCCTGATGGTTTTCTCACATCGCTGAGAGTTCACAGTATTAGTTTCTACTGTAAAATTTCAATAATTATTGTACTTTCAGGTATATACGATGAAGAGGGAGGCTATTCTCCTGTACATCCCGACGAAACCGATGAAGAAGAGGAGGAGGATGAAGAGGAAGAAATTGACATTCAACAGCAATTCACTGAAGTATCAGAAATACGTTTCCCGGGCGAAATTGGACCATTGGGCGATAGAAGATTGTGTAAAATACGATGCGTCAAAGGAAAATGGGTTGGTCCCTTATGTGCCACCAATGAGGAGGGTAAGTGGTGAAAAGGCCAATAAGCCAATATTCACTCACACTGAATGTATCAAAAACATCATGGCCATTACCAACTCGAACAACGTTACAGCAAATACACAAATCATTAAGCAATATAAACATACAAACATAGTAATTAACACGTGGGAGCATAAGTAGATACATATATATGTACATATGTATCATATATACGTGCTAATATAAAAACAAACTCTCACAATGGCAATATTTTATATGCACTTAAAAGATAATTTAAAGTAAAGAAATTACTGAAATTAAAAAAAACAAATACTTACAAATTGATGCAATTAACGGTGAATACAGAAAAAACCACATACATACCTACAAGGATACTAAAGCATACAGTGTTATTTACGAATAAATAAAAATTCACGCATACATACATATAAGCATAATTGTAGCAAATACAGCATTTAAAAACAAACATACATACATATGATCTAACAACTTACATAAATACATAGAAACATACATACTTACATATGTATTTACAAATGCAGTAGATGGAATAAAGCGATGCAAAATATAAATGAGTACATTAACAATGCACATATTTTGTTTTAATTTTTCAACGTTAAACCTCATTTTCATACATATCTACATACTTATTGGAAAACTCTCACAAGAATCCTACATATAGTACATGTGTATGTATATTTTATTTAAAAGTTTAAAGCAGTTCATTCAATATGTACTTTATTTTGTAAAATTTCTCACAATTTTGTAACCCTTTGCCGTAGACGATAATGGAAATGTGAAATTTCAGCCTCTGTACAAGAGTTGCCATGTGAATCGAATTCCGCCGCATTTGCTATTGAGCTATCGAAACATTTCAGTGGTAAGTTGAAAACAATATCCGCAATACACAAGGACAGAGTGGAAATGAAAGTGTTCTTTGGCACATGTTCAACTGTCGGAATGTTATTATTACTACATACATATATACATACATACATACACACGTTAGACTTTAACGCTCATTCGTAAATATTTATGAGGCATATCACAAATTCTCCACAGTTTCGAATGTTTGAAAGTGCAAAAATTTATATTTGCAATTAATTTTGCTCAATGAACATTCTCATAAATACATACATGAATACTTATATATTAGAATTTATTTATTGTTAAAAGGGTTTCACCGAATATTAGTTGGTATACTCTACATATACCAACTTGACTAACTAAGCAAAATGGGAATCAAAAATTTTTTTGATAGTTGTAAAAGCTCTTCAAATTATTTTGCTTACTTTTGCACTCACCTTATGTATGCTCTTTTTATCTACACCATATCTTTATCACTCGCTACTTCTATATATATTTATGTATGTATATAATTGTTTGTTCATCTTATGTACTCTTTGTTATTTCTAATAAGCACACTCCGATTTTATCTCACCCATTATAAGTACGTTCTTACGTTACTCTTGCGTATTGAGCGCAAACCAAAATTTCGTTTTCGTCTTATTTAATTTTCTTTCTTGCAGACCCCGATACCGTCCATAAGAGGGTCGCGTCGCAATCGAACTTCCAAATCGACTTTTATTTCCAATACACAAATTGTGAGTTTGAACGTCTTAAGACATTTCGGGTCAATCGATGCAAAACGCTTATTCCACACTCGCATCTTTCGCATGCTTCCTGCTACTCAATGGCTTAATGGCCATACATGGCAGCGAGCCACGTATGTTTATGAGTCTTGCGTGATCACTGTATGTGGACGAGTTGAGCTTGGAAAAGGCTGTTAAGCAGTAATGAACACCCTTGTAGTGAAATGAAAGTACTTTAAGTAGATTCCCTGCAATGGGAGGGTACAAAGTAGATGATGCTTGCATTTGCTAATGAATACTTCTATTAGTTTAGCTTTGCTTTTGGAAGAATATTTTGATAGCTGAGTAACTATTTTTGCATTCACAATTCAGCACTTCAACTCACTTAACATTTTTCAAGGTCGCAGCTTGAATAAATAGACCTGCGTCCTCAGACACCCAAGAGTTCCGTATCGAGGAGAGGTGCTAGGGCTTTCTTAATTCTCTTATTATAGAAGTTTACACTTGTACGAAAGCTCGCACTAAATCTTTTACGAGTACTTTTATAATTTTTTTGCTAAGAAGTATTAGTGGTTGACATAATTTGACTCAACAAGTGCAAAGTGTATCGTCGGTACATACGAAGATAGATAGATACTCACTCTATAATTAACGCCGAATAACTGAGTTCGGAAAACGTTCGGGAAAAACACACATGAACAATAGCTATATCTATCGCCGAAATCTTTGCTTTAAGTTCATAATAATGTTCATAGAAGTATTATTTTTCGATGAGGCAAGGCCACAATTTCATCTTGATGACTTTGCTACGAAGCATAATTGCCGCATTTTAGGATCGAAAGCCCCGCAAGTCAACGTCGATAAACAAAAAGATCTTCAGAGAGTAATTTTTTTTTATCGATTTTGAAGCGATAGCATAAGGGTCGACATTACTTTCATTTTTAAAAATCAAATAATCACGTTTTAAAATTAAAATATATAAAGAACTAAATAGGTGGCTCGTTTCAAGAAATTATATTTAGTTGGAGCTCTTTTTGCACCTCGATTATGTGGAGATGTGTCTACATACAGAATTATAATTAATAACATATAAAAATAGATTTATGTATGTCAACCACTGATTTTTATCGCAAATCTAGATGCCGAAAATTTTCACAACAGAATAAAGCACCAAACACTGACACAATAATCAAATACCAAGTATGCTTTTATGTCATATAAACACCAGCAACACTGTTTTGTAAGCCATCCTGTGTGGCTCTCGTTTGTAATCTGCATTTTGGCTCGTGTTTTTGCTGATCTCTATATCTTTTTTCTCTCTATCTGTCTGCGCCTGTTACTATTTCTGCTATATTCTTCAACTTTATAAAATGAATAATAAAATGACAACATTTCTGCTACAAACTTCTAATGATCCACCCTGTATATTATAAAACCAAAATGCAATTTGTCAAATCGTTCGCCACTCTCAGAATGTTGGCTGGGACTTGCCACATGGACACTCATTACAGGCTCGCTGTAAAGATCTGGGCATGTACAAGCTTCTTGGCGAATCTCGGGTGCTTTGCTCAAACGGCCTATGGGCACCGCGTATGCCTTCCTGTGTGCCCACAACATTACTTACCAATTTCTCTGACGACAGCGCGCCCTCCATTCGCATCAAAGTTTTCAATGGTTCCGGTGCATTTGAGCCTTCCGGCGTACTAGCCGTACTGCCACAGAGTTCGATCTTACTAGATTGCATGTATCCACGGATGCGGGGCATCCCCGATTGGACGTGGACAAGTTGGTACAGGCAGTATATAACAGGTAGGTAAAACGGTATAGGTATACGTATGGAGAATATCAAACGTTTAATCCTATTTAGGAACTTCATGAGCTATTATAGACACCTCGGTTTTTAGTATACGGCTAATGTTATAGTTTGTGACCTTTGTCCGTTTGTTTTTCAGGTTGGTCACACGAAGACAAAAATTTAAGATATCGCTTGACAATTAAGGACATACAAAACAGTGATTCGGGAACATTTACGTGTACTTCACCACGGGGTTTAACCAATAGCATTGCAATTGTTGTGGCCACCTCAACATGTCCGCAGCTACCAGAACCGGTGTCGCCGCTCACGCTGCGCTTGGAGGGTAATAAGCTTGGACAGCGCGCCATGTATCGCTGCCCTCCAGGTTATCGCATCGATGGTGTTGCAAATGCAACTTGCTTGGCCTCGGGTAATTGGTCATCGCCGCCGCCCACTTGTCAGGCTGTGCAGTGCCCCCGTTTGGCGTTGGACGATCCACATTTGAGTTTGATCGAGCTAAATACGTCGGCGTGGGGGCGGGCGATGTTCAAATGCCAATGGGGCTTCAAGCTGACCGGCCCGCCGAGACTGGACTGTGAGCCGACGGGCGTGTGGAGTGGCCCAGTACCGCGTTGCAAAGGTGAGTAATTGTCAGAAAGTGTTTAAAAACTTTTGACTTTTCAAAAGCGAAGGTCAATTTTTCGATATCAATATATTTTGCAAAATTTAATTTAGCTTTTATTTATTCCACCAAAGAAGTGTGATTACCACGCGTGTAAGCATACAGATTTAACATATAATATATAGTAATGAGGGTTTAGTAGCTAAGTCTACCATAAAGTGCATAGTCGTCACCGATAGTTAGTCTGCATAAATTTTATTGTACTTTTGTCCTAAGAAATTGAACCAACAAGTTCGATGTCTAAAGGCTACCGTTCCGTTTAATTCATCATTTAATCAGACATTGTCTGGTACTCTTTCTCTTTAAGAATTATGTAGGAACCTTTTCAAAATTTAATATTGTCAATTTTGAGTCATCTTGTAGGCTCTCGCTCAAATTAATCAGTTAGTTTTACGATGTAGCCATATATGTCAAAATACCAATTTATTAAATATACTATCAGCATAATGTGTCGATATATAAAAATTTTGTTTGGGAAACTAACCAAACCTATGGATAATGGGTGACTTATATCCAATATCGTATATAACGCAAAATTTAGTCAAATGCAACCGAAAAGTATTTAAAATCAGTATTTAATGAGACCTGCATTTAAAAAATTGCATTTTACAAAATCTATAACTGCCTGTGGGGGTAGACTTTTTAAGTAAGAAGGGTAGGGTTATTTAAAAAGTTCGCAGATATCAATTTATTGGTAACGAAACGCAAATGCAGGAGCACAAACGCGCAGCGACATTGATTCCTGCCTACACGTCAAAGGATCCAACTAAAAACCAGAACCACTGCCTAGTAGAGACTGCTGTTGGCGTTGTCAGCATCATGCAAAGTACGAGAATAATTGAATTCTTTATTGACAACTCAAACGCGAGGTAAACGTGAGCGGTGGATGCTGTTCGACAAGAAATAACTAGCGTCAACGCCAGCAGTGTTGAAAGTTGGAAGGCGACAAAAACCATTTTACTCGTACCTCATTTTCACTTTACTTAACGCGGCCAATAACTTAATGTTTTCCATTTGTGATTCTCCTTTTTGTTATTTTTATTTTTAGTTGGGTTTTAGTTCTGCTAGACGTGTAATTTTTTCTTTTGTACAATAGTACAGATAAAGATATACATATTCTCTCATTGTTTGCAATGCATTTTTGTTCGTTTTTTGTTCAAATTGCAACATAGATGTTTCACTGCATCATCGTCATTTGCTCTGTTTCTTCTCGCTTTGCTCTATCTTGCACTCGCCAACCCTATCATCTACCCCATCAAAATGAAAAATCACGCGCATGAAAAATGTATAATGAAACAGCCATCCAATGTTCGACGCCGGTGGCGCCGCTAAATGGACGTATAGGCGGCACAAATCTGAACCAGCGCCGTCTCACTGTGGGCGCTTTGGTCACATTCAGTTGCAACGAGGGACACACGCTTGTCGGCGAGCCGAGCATCATTTGCACCGAAACAGGACTCTGGTCGCATCCACCACCATTTTGTAAGTAATACCCCAAGCAGTAAAACAATAACCAAACCAACCAAACCAAAAAGAATGGTGTTAAATTGAAAATGTAGAAGAGCCGCGAATCTGTACACACTCACTCAATACTCACACGCATACACAAACACGCACACACACAGAGACCTATGTATGTAACTGTTAGCCTTAAAGTACACATGCAAATAGTGGCGTTGTGTGTGCGTGTGTGTGTATGTGTAGAAAATAATTGGTAGAAAAAGAGGCAAAACATAAGAGTTACGAACAGGCGAAAAGACAGCTTAATAAACAAGCAGATTTTGACGGTTCAAAGGAAAAATTACAATTTACGATTCCAACCCGCTATTTCTTTTCAACTACTTTAAACACCAAACAGCTGACCATTCAATCAACGACTAATAAAACATATCAAAAAAGCTGATTACTCGACCATATATGTGTACACACATATGTGCGTATGGAAGTATACGAATTTACATAAATACAAACATGTATGTGTACCTAAGTTAGCCCAATATGAAGATATCTCATCAGATTCATTTAGTCATCAACTCATTCTCATTTCTTTGTACAAATCTGTGTATCTCTTTCTGCTCTTGCTCTCCCGCCGCTTCCCCATCCACCGTCCACTGTGCAGGCAAATCGCAATGCCCCTATCCCGGCGATCCGCCAAATGGTTTAATAGCGCCGCTCAAATTCAATTACGATTCCGGCGATTATCTGAGCGTCCAGTGTCGGCCAGGTTTTGTGCAATACAGCGAGAATGGTCCGCCAGAGCGTCCAAAATGTCAACCGGATGGAAATTGGTCCGGTCCGGTACCTAAGTGCCGCAGCTATGAGGAAGTGTAGCTAATCAAAATGGCGGACATGATGATGCCGGAATCATCTGACGAGTCCACACAACTCCACCCCCCACACCAAAACAGCATGCTTCGTTATTAGCCACACAAGATCAAAGAGCTTAAAGTAGAGGTACGGGGCAGAGACATAACACCAAACGAATAAATATGTATGTACGGTTATAATCAACACGCTGCAGGAATAAATACGTGGACAAATTTATGGCGACCCAAACAGCGTTACATACACGCACACACATCGTATTATGTATGGAATAGTGTAATTTAGGGTAAATGGTTGGGACATATACGATACACACACGCACACTCGCACACAAATTAATATTGAAAATTCACGAAACTACTCTGCAGGAAATAAACAATCACAAATTTATTGATATTATTTTTTCAAATTGATTCAAATAATATTAGTTAAAAAACTTACTTTTTTCTGTATTCATGGTTTGTATTGTGCGAATAAGAGTATAAAAATGTTTATAGAACATCTTCAAGCCCTTCGTCGAGGTATTTGGTCATAGTAAGCTTGCTAGTTTCATTAGCATAACCGGTTTCCAAAAAAAAAATAAATATGTTTTAAATTTTATTTGGATAGGTTTCTTTTTTAAAACTATATTTCCGCCCCTGTTATGATTTGTAACTTTGAAAATAACAGAGTAAAAATTTGTAAATTGGGAGAAGAACTTAACACAACTTAATTCATATCTCACTGACTTTTAGACCTCTGCAACTGCGTTCATATTTCGTTAATTGTTTGATCACATCGCTTTCAATACCTATTGAACAAAGCAGTAAACAAAAATATATGTTTAAAATTCATCAAACAGATAATTTCCTAATGTAAAAAACTTAATTTAATCTACTGTTTTATTAGTCTTAAGTGCTTAACTATAGCCCTAACTCATGTTCCTAATAGGAATAAAGGAAAATAAGATTTTAAAAGATCGCACTATCTATCTGGCATACGTTATGGGCGATTCGAATTTTACGTGATGATTTTGAGATAAATCGGTTGGTAAATATTGGATATAAATATATTTGGAGTCCAGCGCTACATTTTGGGGATAATTTTGGTCTGAATAACCCGATTCAGTGATACAAATATGAGCTCAGCTTGTAAACACTTTTTTGGTAAATATCCAAAATTCAATTGGCAAATGAGAACTACAACCTAAACCACCTATGGTGTATTAAACATATTATAAAGACTCCAAAAAAGTTGATTCAGGTCTGTATTCGAAGTAAAACTTTAACTATTATAGTTTAAGAAGTACACATTACATTATTACTAACACGTGTGAAGGAGGTCATTCAAATTTACTTTTCCAGCTCCAATACTCGATTCACTAGGATTGTACATTTTGCGAAAGAGCTGTAAACCCTAAAAGGGGTATTAAAATCGTTCTGCAAAAATCATCGGTTTTTTATATTATTGTTAGCTGAAATTGCTATTTCAAAGTAATTGTTTTAAAAATTTCCTGCAGGGTTCGAATTCATACCGAAATACAGAAAAATACTCACACAATTATTGATTTGTAAAAGTTTATATCACAGACCAACATATTACAATAATTATGTATTCAGTTATAAATTGTAAGATTGTTTGTTGTGAATGGTCACTACAAAATATTCATAATACTTCAGTGGGCGCGTCAACTGAATTTGAAAAAAAATCAAATTTTAATATGTAAGAAAAACCTGAGCGTTATGTGCAGAGTAATGTAGTTTGGGGAAAATGTTAATTCTTGAAAAGAAACAATTTATTGCTCCAGTGTATTAAACAGGATAATATTTATTAGAATAAGCGTTGTTAAATTTAAATTAAAAAATACTTAAAACTTACATTCAAAAACGGATAAATGCTGATATATTTACAACAACTTAAATCTTATAATAACAGAAAAAGAAAAATATACATACATATATGTACAAGAATATTGATTTGGAATATATCAAATTTAACATTTGTGCTGCATGGACAGCTTTCCGTTACCCACAAGCCGGGCTTTTACATATAATATAATATTACGTCCCTTAAAATATTGTGCAATGAATTGGAATAGCAAATCAAACTTCCAACTAATGAAATTCCAATAAAACGAAGAGAAAACGGTAAAGTAACTTATCAAATATTAATTATATGTCTCAATAATACTGAACCCAACTATATGAGTAAACTTTCCATAGTAAAACGATGCAAAATTATTCACTCAAACTTGAAATTTATTAAAACCCGAATGAAATTGTAAATATTCAATTTGAAATTAATTAAATTGGTGCTTCTTGAATAATACAAGCAATAATGCTTTAATAAATAAAAGCATTATTGCTATAAGCCTACTAAATGCATACAAATAAATATACAAACATATTCTTATGTATAACATACATATGTATATGCCGATCAAAAAGTAACGAAACTTCCAAATTTTGCTTTTGCGTGCTATAAGTAGACCACAAACATATATTTCAGCTACTTAAACTTAAATATACACAAATTAGTAAGTTTTCTTATTTCTCAAATATTAAAAGTTTCTATAAATAAATACCTACTTATGTACTCGTATACATATACATATATACCAGTTAAATTGTCCAAATAAAACCAATTGTATTGTATAATATATTTAAGCTTATTTATGTATGTACTTGTAAGTGAATATTAGTGAAATTTAAGCGAAAACGGCGAAGAATCGTAAAAGTTTGTGATCATTTAAAGGCAAAAATATTTAAAAAAGTAATAACAATATATTGTAATAGAAAGACAAAATGAATTATAGCGAAACGAATACATATTGAAAATAAAGTGCATATCTGAGGGAAGTGAAAGGAGAATTATGAACGAGTTTCATTTTGCCATGAGCTGTGAAAGGAACCCGAAACAACGGGTAAGTAGCGTCAGATACAAGGAAATGTACTTATACGGCAAATGCTATGCTCAGCATATACCGACGTTTTTCCCAAAAAAAATTTCAGATTGAAAAATCGAAGTAAATCAAATATAAAAATTTCCTGCCATATTTAAATTTATTTATGAATGATCTAAGCCGCTATTGCACTTAAAACCTTTTATGTTTGATAAAGCATCAGATTTTCAGGTAGCACACTAGTAAAGACGTTAAATTTAAAGACAAGGATGGCACGATTATGACACGGATTAGTTCTCAAGCAGAACTTTTAATAATATATCAATGGACGTGACACCGTCAACATTTGTTAAAAATTGTATTTCTTACAAAACCCTTGATTTGAACCGAATGCGGAGAATAAAGTACCCATTACATCCTATTTGAACAATTTCAAATGGGCAAATTTGGCTACAGACAGGTTAACATCCTGTAGAGCGCTATTTTAAATCAAGTCTTACTTTAGAACGTTTGCATTGGCTATACAATTTTTTCTCAGTGTACATATGGTATATACCTTACAGCTCCTAAACTATGGTATTTTTATAAAACTTCTCTATATATATATATGTGTACTTCCTGGTAAAAAGGCGACTAAAAGCCAAATGCACTATGACTGTTATTATGTACCTTGCTCAGTAATATCAGCATAGTATGTCAGAAATAGTGCTATAATACTCAGCTTGAACTGATATTATTGATCTGCAAAACATAAAATTGTGAAATAGCGTTATTGTTCAGACTATACTACGGAATAGAGAAGCTAATCTATTATTATGTTCGGTAGTATTCTATTTCTAATATAAAGATAAAAGATTTAAAATTACCATAAATATTGGCCATGGAAGGGCTAACAGAATCTCGGGAGGTTTCGCAAAATAATAATTAAAAAATGGTGTTAAATATTTAAAAAGAGTAGATCCGGCTATTCGGTAAAAGAAGATTGAGGTGCTAAATGTTTGTGAGCTTGGCTAATAGACTATTAGTTTAACTACTAACATTTATGGTTACTCCACCCTGTTTCTGGATATGAATATAAATAAATTAAAGAAAATATAGGTTTTAAGCAATTATGATAACTTTTAGCGAAAGTAAAGAAGCAACTCAATATTTCCATAAAGAAGAGTAAAACCAACTAGTAAGAAAGGGCTAAGTTCAGGTATAACCGAACAGCCGGGGAAATACCTTTAGGTATTGGCAATATTAAAAACCTAATTTTAAATAAGAAAATGTAGTCACTTAATTTCATTAAAATATCACCAATTTTGACCAACCTAAACGGTTTAAAGGCAGGTGGAAAGTCGGAAATCATTATATAGAGTATACTTATTTGGGGCAGAGAAATGAAAGGTCTGATTGCACTAATTTTTGATATTGTTCAGGGCAAGTTTTCGCCCGATTTTATCCATTTTAGGCACAAAGATACACTGCCATTAGAAACATATGCTCTCCTTATTTCATTAAAATAACTCCCACAATATGTGTGGTATAAAATCAACTGAAAGTTCGAAAATTTGTATATTAGGTATATGGATGCTAAGAGAAGTATTGACCCGATTCAACTCATTTATAAAATAAGGATATATTATTATCAAAGAAAAATTTTCCCGGGATTTCAGAAATATATCTCATAGATTGGCCGACATTTTCGACTAACAGTCAGCCATACGCACTGGGTTCGACATATTCAGCATGTAGCGGCTTGAACTGTTATGGTCCGATTTTGACGACTTTTGGAGCCGAGATAGTATACCTCAAAGGCACTATTTATGTGTGTGAATAAAAATATTTTTGATTCGATTTTTAACGGTTGTTTGTATCACCTAAAACTAATCGAGATATATATATAGTATGTTGTATTGGTAAAAATTGATAAAATTGGGTCGATACTACCCCCAACTCACGTATACTACTTATAATGATTTTCATTATTCTAACAAGTTTTATGCCAAATATGTCGGTTAGTGAGGATTATTTATATATAAAACTAAGTCTAAGTTAATACCCTTCAATATAAGTGGTATATTCACTAAGTTTTATTGCAATTTATTGACGATTTCATTGAATAAAGGATGTTTCATGTTTCGCTACATTTCGTAACTTAAAGTTTTGCCAACACCTGAAGGAATTTCACGGGCTTTGATTATTGCAAGTTGCAAGAGAACATATAAAATGTTCGGTTACACCCGAACTTAGCCATTTTTTACTTGGTATTTTTAATTTTTGATAAATTATTGATTGAGCTATTGTGCTATATGTGTGTCTTTTTATAATAATACTAATAATTCATTTTTTTAATTTTACTAAAGCTTTTCATAGTTGGACATTCATTCCATCTAGAAAATACCAGAACTCGAAACTGTATTACACTTCAAATAATCGTTACTTTAACACCAAAAGTTTGGTGGGGGAACTTTTCACAACAATCACGCAACCGAGAGAAGGTCAAAGCACATTTTTATTCGGCTTTTTTACATACACATACATATGTTATGTATGTATTAATTATTACTAGTACGAATTCAAAGAAAAGAAACAACTAACTACTAGACATACTGTTTCATCGTGTGTATTTACTTATAAAAGTGAACAAGGCTATTTTAGCGCGACTGTAAAGTTAAGCGCTTTAAAAGAAAAATTTCGTGCCCAAAGGTGGAATTGGAGGTCTCACTCGCTGGTGTGGCGAGTCCATTTGCGTTGGATTAAATATGCGTACCACGTGCATACACTTACGTTGTTGGACACTTAACGGGGAGGGCAGGCAATTAGGTGCGTCACTTCCCTATAGTATGTGGACATACATACGGATATAATAAGAACTAGAAAATAGGCAATGATTAATACAGTGAAGACAAACCAGTTTTAAATATTCATTTCCGCTTTTTCGAAATTAATTGCAATTAATCGAATTGGAGGAAAATATTAAATTTTAGTAAAAGTGTATACAACAGAGTAGACTCATACCTCGCTATACGGTCGCATGTTATACGGCAATTCGCCGTTACACTTCTTGAATTAAGACACATTTTCGATATACGGCCTGAAATATTTCACAAACGGCCCAAAATATTTTTATCGATGTGAACACGACGGTAAACATATCCAGTGAGAACTCTGTAACCTTATATTTTGAGAATTTCTTTTTATCCTTTCATTGAACAGGCTTTCATGTTTTTTTATTCCTTTTTATTTATTTTACTTTAAAAAGGAATCCAACAGACCCTAAAAGTATGTCCTGCATTGTTATTAAATAACTTTAAACATTAAATTTAATACAAGACAGCGAAATACATTCGTATTCGTTAGGCATGTACGACTTTTTATACCCTGAACAAGGTATATTAAGTTTGGCACGAAGTTTGTCACTCAGAAGGAAACGTCGAAGACCCTATAAAATATATACATAAATGATCAGCATGATGAGCTGCGTTGATTTAGCCATGTCCGGCTATCTGTCCGTCTGTCTGTATGAGCTAGTCTCTCAGTTTATAAGCTATCGACCTGAAATTTTGCACCTATCCTTTTCCCACTTAGAAACTGCTCATTTATCGGAACGGCAGATATCGGACCACTATAGCATATAGGTGCTAAAAAACTGAACATTCGAAATCAAGTGCTTGTATGGAAAACTTTTTAATATCTTCATGAAATTTGGCATGAGTTATTTCTTAAAGCAACAATGTATTCTCCGCAGAAATTGTTCAGAGAAGATTACTATATCATGTAGCTGCCATACAAAGTAAACGATGTCAAGGGGATTATTGCACCGAAGTTAACGTTTTTTCTTGTTTTTATTTCACTTTTGTTTATAGATTATTGTTGGATTTCGGAGTCCGATATTATTTTATGTATAACTATATGTACTTGTTATGTATGTATTTTTAATTTAAATGAAATAAAAAGATGAAAATTCATTTTAAATGATAAACCTTGTTACATACCATGTGTTTTAAAAGTGCACCGAAAGAATTATTAGTTTTTATAATATTTTATATATTTTTAAATAGAACCGGATTTATATAAAAATGAGACCACAGGTTGTGCACATTTAGTTCCCTACATAGTAAATATAAAACAAATTATACAGAATCACAGTCCATAATACGATTTGCAAACCGAGGTTTTAAATTGGATACATTTTCCTTTAAGAAATATTTATTTATTTATTCAAATTTTTGGTGAGGGTAATAATACAGCTTTCGCCAATGGGTTCATAATAACCTATGAATCTAACACCGATCAACAGCATTTTTGCTCACGGGTTATACATACCTCATTAGCTTAGAAAGGCTTCAGCTCTTATTTTTGCCTCTGAAAGCATTAGAAAAAGTTCTTCAAGTATTTGAAAGATCATCACCTGGTTCCCTCCGAATTCCCAGCACAATAATAGCTAATATATTATAACCTAATTACTGTTATCAAAATAGTTAACAAATATTATATATATACTTGACACATGTATGTGGAACCCATTTGTTGTCCTGATTTTTAACAGATAGATTGAAGTAAGCTTTGCGAAGGATATGCAAATCTGAAAATTTTTACATAAATCATACTTTTTCTCTCTCGTTTTAATAAAATCGCCGCAAACAAAGCAAAACGAGTCAGCGTCTTATTTACAACTTCTGGAGGACATTTTGTACTAGATGTTACAGGAAACAAAATAATTAAATCGATTATTCCTCTGCAATGTGCAAACACATACTGTCGTACAAAAGGAGCATGCAAGTGGCCCTATCTCCCGTGCTCTTCTCTCTCTCATTATATGAACGCGAAAATCAAAAATGGTCAAATCGCTATAATTGCTTAAAAAAAATATTTTCAATTTATAATTGCCCTTTCCCATATACATTTACTAATATAACTAGAATATATTAAGTAAAACTCATGTTAAACAAAACAAAAATTTGTTGACCTGAGTAATACTTGT